GATGACAAAAAACTCAAATGACTTCTATTACATCACACTCATTACATATTGGAAGTATGAACCTTGATATCTCCAAGATACATCACTCAAAAATTTTATAAATAGTTCACCATTCAAATATTCACCGATTCATGTAGAATCAATACTGAAAATATTGAGTTAGGGGAGGCGGCAATAAATTACATACAACAATATTCAAGATTTAAATTTTTCTAACTGTGAAAACTCATTCATTACAGTAGACTAGCCATCTGAAAACAGGTAGCTCACTATTTAAAAAATATCGTTGTATTCAAGCATTTAGTTTAAGAGAGAATTCTTTTCATATTCAAGCAGTGAGCGCCAAAAACTTTTTTCTTGAAGAAAAGCTGTTGTACAAGGCTAAAATCTTGTTATTCAGAAAGTTTAACTTGTTTGGAAGTGGAGATGACCGGTGAAAGTGGAATCAAAGTGTTAACCCAAAGCAAAAATTTTATTCGAAAATGAGGTTTAGGCCTTCATTTGCTTATTTCCCATATATTTTCTATAAAAAAAGCCTGACAAAGCAACATTCTAACACAAATGCAAAAAACATCTTTGTGCAATCGAAAATACCGCTTCAAACAGGCATTTTATCATAGTACATCAGTTTCTAACTGTTTAAAAAAGGTTTTGAGTTTTAACCCAAAACGAAAATTGGGATCAAAACTCATACGAAAGTCTAGTTTTTGGCGCTTTTTGCCATTATTGCTCATTATTGAAAATAATTTCCTCTTAATACGTAGGGCTTCTCTGTATTTTTTATTTTTATTTTAAACGAATAACTAAGCTTCAGTCCATAGTAGCCATTTCAAGGTTATGAAAATACACGTGTTAATCTATGTACGTAATTATTGAAAAATGCGTGGCACCCATATGTGGAAGGGGGTCCTGAAGGGGTATTAAAAATGTCAGCTTGGGATTCGCCATTTTTGGGATGGGAACATGGGATTTTTCATGCACTGGGAATGGGATTTACAACAAAAACAATCAGAAAAAATAGGGAAATGAAATTGAGGTTTGTGCAAAACAAAAGCTGGGACTATGGAATTTGGTCAACACGGCGAATGGCTGAATGGGATCAGGACACTGATTGACATATAAGAATAGCGCAAGCTAGCTACTGATAGAGCTGTCAAATAGTCAAAAACGGAACAAAACAAAAAGCAACTAAACAGTACAATTTAAAATGATAAGAAGAAAAATATGTAATATATACAGTATGAGTGGCCGTGTTGTATAAGATATACAAAGTACTCAAGGCGTAACCGAGAGTTTGTATACAGTCAATTCAAAAAATGTTGTCGTCGACCAACTCAAGCCTACGCGACTGGACCGAAAGGAACTCTGGATAGCAATCATTGAAGCCAAGTTGAGTACATAATCTTATCTGACTAGTTATGCCTGGTTTACAGCACGAACCTTCCTAGGCGAGCGGGAAGTGTGTTGAAGGAGACGTTTTTTTTTAATGCCTTCATATTTTCGGCATTGTGAACTGAATCATAACTACTTTGTTTTTCTTTCCCTAAACCCAAACATGCATTTGATGGATTGTTTCTCGCCATTATTATCTTATTACTAGCGGGAACAATCAATTCAGAACAAATGTTTAACCGCTTCAGTGATTTTTACCCACATTCCTTTCGGTCCAGTCGCGTAGGCTTGAACCGGTCGACGACAACGTTTTTTGAATTGACTGTATCGGATACAACACGGACACGAATACTATAGATTGCTTGTCAAACGTCTAGGTTAGTTCCTTTGTGTTTCAATAAAATTTTCAATAAGATAAAAGTGAATCTGGCCAAGAAAATCCAACTTAATGTTCATTCAAATGAACAGGATTCTGTATCAGATTGCACAACACTCTTCACGGYCGTGATTTCTGTTGTGTTTTCCTCCTGCATTATTAATGAGTTTGACAAATAAAATAATAAAAATTAGAAATTAAACAAACGAACAATAAGACAAAATTACAATTAATTGAATTTCAATAATGAAAAATAACTGTTAGGCAAAGTCATTCGAACTCCATTGTTTCTATTAGTTACAACTCTTAAGGTGTACCTTATCTATTAGAGCGTATGAGGTATTCGATATTTATTAAAACTTGACGTAGCAGATTGCACAAATCTRCACAAATTAGTAAGGTCAGTGGGCCTCAGTAGACCGTAGATCTACAAAATTAATTTTTGCGCTAATTTGTAYTATTTAATTTGTTTATAGTTCTATTTTTTCACGGTTATATGATATTTTTACCACAATTGTAAATTTTCTCGCGCGCTGATTGGTTAAAAAACGTCGTAAATAAGAGGCCATACCAACAAATGGCGTCATGCAAGATTTCGTGCAGTCTATTTCCTAGAGTTTTGTGAGTTTTGTAGTAAAAAACAAATTTACGATGGTTTAGCGTGGTATGTCCTCTTATTTACCACGATATGACGCCAAACGTTGGTCAAAATTAGTTATGGACCCACTCGGCTTACGCCTCGTGAGTCCATAACATTTTGACCAACTTTTGACGTCATATCGTGGTAAATAAGAGGACATACCACGCTAAACCATCGTAAATTTGTTAAGTAAACTATTCGCGAGCTCAGTAGAGTGACGGCCGTTAACCCATGAAATAAAAAAATGTTAGTCAACGTGTAATAGTCAAATAGACACAAAAGAAAACAATGGAATTGGGGTCTACTAATGTGTATTAGTCTAACATCTATTCTTACACTTAGACGACCTAACTTGTCTTAATACAATCATGATATCGCTTGATGCAATGATGGGCGGTTAAATAATCAATTGGCTGGTTATGTCAATAACTTTAAAAACTCTTTACACAGAAGCTAGTCGTCTAGCCGTCTACAAATATTAGTATTTAGGCTATTCTTAGACTTAGCAATATTACAAGCTGCAGGCTTGTCTAGCAATATCAAATAAAAAGGAGGGAGATGAGTAGAGGAAACTGAAAATCGGGGGGAACGCTATAAATACATAATATAAAATTAGTACTTATGAAGGATTAAGGAATTATTGAAATTACTCAGTTCGTGAAATGCTTTTTTCTTATCATTCTTTTTTATATATGTTTCGCTCCGTATAAGGTACTTGTTTACGAATTTTATTTAGAACCATTTATTCGAATTCATTAGTGAACAAGGGTAGGGGGTAGGGGTGGGGTGGATAGAAACAAAGTATTCTCTAGCTGTTCAGAGCTCGACAGATCGACACACGATGCCATAAGATTGAACATAGGACATTATATTAGAACCGTTGCTAAAAATATCTTCTTTTGTAGAATAAGGAAATTTTTCAAAAGCTTTGAGTTTGTTACGATAGAAAATACTACTCAACAATTTTCATTGTAGTCCCTCCCCCAGGGGATTCAGTTTGCTACTCGTATAGTATTTTAGCTAGCCGGCCCAATACGACCGGGTATTCGAGAAATGACAGCTGGGGTTTACTTATCAAAGAATCGAAACTTTAACCAAACTGTCTAGTTTTAGCGATCTTGTCGAAGATATTTCAAATATGATCTTTTTCTAAAACAAAGGCAGTCATTAACATTAACATTGCCGGTCGATCGTGACCCAACTTCTTAATCCAGTCTATCTGAAGCTAGTAAAAATCAACGTGATTGATAATTGCTTCGATTTGCATCGGTGAAGACAAGCTTTGGTCCTCCTAAAATGTGGCAAAGAGACCTTCAACTGCTCTTATGTTTCGTCTGTGGTCTTGGTGAGTTACAAATATTTTGCGACTATCTTAAAATATACATATTCGAGGTATCTATGATTTGAATAACATCGTTCGTCATCATGCAACGGTAGCTAGCGAGATATTATGACAGAACGTTCTAGTACTATAACCTGTCGCACCTTTACAATATTTAGCTAGCGGAATTTACTTTTCTTACTACGATATTTTATTCTGAGAAAACAATTCCAACAAGACCGAGTCGAGATATGTACTTAAAAACATTTTAAAATTATTTATTATTTCTGAAATTCTGAGAAACAATGCAAGTTTTTAAAAGAAATTAAACAGAAAGCTTGATTTTTTTTTAAAAAAAAAAGCTTTCCAATCATTTCAAAGTTTATTTTAAGAATTCCAGTTTTCGTTTGCAGCGAGAATAGCGAGTGAAGAATTAAAAATCGAATATTTTTGTGTGTTTTTTTAATAGATTTTATAATTTATTCGATTACACATGGGTTCAATATCATTCCGATTTTAATGCTTTTTAAGGAAGGAAACAAAAAAAAGAAAGAAAAAAAAGAAAGAAAGAAAGAAAGAAAGTATAAAAATCACATATTTGGTTTTGTGCATGAGTTGATGGATTAAACTAGAGCAAAATTAAAGTTTTTAAACGAGTGAGCCTTCGGCACTTGGAACAAACCCTGGATAAATTCAAATACAAATGCATTTACACGACCCAAAACACATGTGCTAAAAATCTAAAAATATCTAGATTTATAGATGGATTTATAAGATCTCATCAATTATTTCTTTTGAGAAAAATTTTTTACGGGAATCAATTATCATCCAGGCCCCTCCTCAATTGGCATCGGTTTTTATAAAGCGGAAAAATGATAGAGAAATAAAGCTGAAGTCCTTAAAAAATCTGAATTTCAATTATTTGTTCCAAACATCAGATCTATTCTTAACTTGGCGTCTACTTTAAATATTCATGATAGATTATCAATAGAGCGGAATTTTGGACCAATTGAAATCGTTCCTTTTCAATGGGTCCATCTATCAAGGTTACCTGTCGGGAATGAATTGGCCTAATAAAGAGCGGCAAAAAATAAAAAGAAATAAAAGAAGTAATAGAATAAAATTTTAAAAATAGAGATAAGAAATCAAGGCTTGGATGAATAATTTGAGGCCGAAATTGAGTAATTTTGGATTCTGAATTTTTTTTTTTTTTTTTTTTTTTTTTTTTTTTNTTTGATATATTCAAAATATTCTAGCTTGACAGCTAATTGCGTCAATCATTTGAACCGTAATATAATGAATAAATACTCACTGAACCTCAAAGTCTTATTTTTTTGGCATTATTTCTTTTGATTCTTTCTTTAAGATCTGTGTTTTTATTTATCTACTGTGTATGTCTTTATTGTTTTATCATTGTCCTTGACATTATATTTGCTTTTTTTCTTGCTTTTTTCTGCAACCTTAATTTGGTAATGTTTTGTTATAGTTCGTTCATATACTTTGTTTTGTTTGCTTGAGTTTCAAAGGATTCCCATAATTGAATTTGCTTAATCGGTGTTTTTGTAAACCGTTAAAAATGCATATTTATTTTTATTTTTATTTTAGTTTTAGTTTTTGAATTACGCCTTCTTGAAAAAGCTATGGATTCTTTTTTCAGAACCTAATCCAGCAGGTGCTGCCTCATACTTCCTCAAGTTAGAAATATGATACGAACGCTAAGATATATCAGATCATGCAGTCAGAACCTCTCATCCTATYTTAAACGAAAAGTCAACAAACATAAATGCGTCTCGGAAACAATTATTGTGAGTTTACTCAGGTGTTTCACGGGCTTTCTGAAGACTTTTGTTCAAGAAACAGGTTTCAGTTCCCAAAACAATAAAGGGTCAAATACGTATTAATATATTTGAAGGAAAGATGTTGAGCCTTCATTTGGCCGATACAAAATGGTATTTCTTTGAATAACTGTTTAATCTTACACTATAATTGTAGCATGTTAATTTGAATTAAAGCAGCAAAAGCTGTCAGATTCGATGTCATTTTTCCCGGCCCGCTAATACAAACAATATGACGGATCATAAACAACTAGTCGATAACGAAGGAGTTGCCGGTCTCGAGGTTAAGTTGTTTTTCATTAGATCATTTTGATCCGTGTACGAAAGCGCCTTAATGCATCGTTGGTTTAAAAACACTTACTAGAGCAAGCACCTTCACGATGACTTCACTTTAAGATTGACAATTAATTTATTTAGGCTAATTTAGTGTATGCAATTTTTAAAGTGTCTTAACGTTCGTCATCCAAAAAATAAAAATAAAAATTAGATTAAATTAAATGAACAACAACAGATATCGGATAAAATCCATTTTAATTACTTTTTTTCAATGAGCACTTTTTTCTGTTCTTATCAACTCTTACCAACTGTCACTTCCAACCTTATTTTTCCTAAAGATATCACAGCGATTGCTGAGAGGATTGTAAATAATACGATTGGTTGTCTTGATAGAACGCTAATCCAGCTTCCTTCCGCGCGGAAATAAATTAAAACAGACCGTTTTTATATTCAAATGATATTCAAATGCTGTATTGAAAATGGAAACGTTTTCACATGGAGGTCTATGTACTAGGCCTAATTTTCAACAGCGATGCAAGCATAGGTATACAGACTATTAGTTATCCGACATCACCTCCCCGGTCGATCCGCCACTATCACTGGCTAATGATGATGTACACCACCATGATCCCATCAACAGCATCATCATCACCATCATCATCCTCATCACCATCATTATCATCATCAGCATCATCATTACCACCATAACCATCATCATCATCATCATCATCATCACCGTCATAACCATCATCATCACCATCATCATCATCATGATCATCAGTGTCTTCAACGTCGTATATCATTATCATGAACACCACCACCACCATCATCATCATAGCATCATTATCATAAACATCATCGTCACAAGGGCGGATCCAGGGGGAGGGTCGGGTGGGTCGCGACCCCCCCCCCCTGTCATTCCTGAGGTCAAATGGGCTTCTTGTGGTAAAAATGCGACTGGGATTCCTTTGCCCACAAAATTTACCCCTGAGACCCCCCTTCAAAAAAAACCCTGGATCCGTCCTTGCATCATCACCATCACCATTTAAAGCGGATTCGTAAAGTGAAAATGCAAATGCACTAACCAAGCACTTATACTATACAAACTTGGTAATGTTCTATTTCCTATTATTTCAGTCGTCAGAGGAGAAGATACGACAACATCTCAGTTAATGCCATCACCGACTGATGCCGCCAACTCAATCTCAAGGTCTTCAGCAATACCTTCCTCAGTCCAAAACCACACATATAACGGGACGCTTACCCTAAACCAGGCATGGAATGAAAAATTGTTGGACAATACCTCCGATGAATACAAAAATATTTCGGATGCCATCGAGGAGAGGTTAAGACTAGTATTTCAAAACGAAACAGGATTTGTCGCAGTCAAAGTTGGAAAATTATCAAATGGAAGCATTAAGGCAGAATTTTCATTGGAAACTAAAGGAAGTCTTACTATAACGAATAAGTCTCTAAAATCCAAATTAGGAAAATTCTTCAGAGGACTTTTCGAGCTTTTCTCTTTCGAAATTAAAATCGATGCTTCCATTAAAATACATGTTGGTCCATCAAAATCATCGTCAGTTACATCATCTTCACCCACATTATCATCCTTAACCAGTTTCAAGGCACAGCCAAAGTCATCTCTAATATCAATGGTGCCTTCATCTTTATCACTAGTAGGATTGCAAGCAACACCATCAATGTCACTTTCTCAAGACATTCCTACAACCCATCCAACGCCAACTTCTTCCTATACCTCCCCTCAGGCAACGACATCACTACCAGGTATGGAGACAACACCATCAACGCAGTATCCTTTTATACTACCAACTTCTCATTTACTGATGCCAACTACCTCTACTTCATCTTTCTCCCGAATGACGATGTCATTAACAAGAAGTCAAATGACGACTTACACAGAATCATCCTCTGTATCTATCTCGTCGTCTTCGCTAGTGATACACGGAAAGCCTAATTCAACAGAATTGGCTAATTCTATAGTACTATTGCCAGAAAGTTCGCCACGTCCATCGCCAACATCATCTTCTCATGTGATGACAACATCCAGAAATGAATCGTCATCACTGTCGCGATCGTTAATGCCATCCTTATCATATTATTCTACTGCTAAAGTATTGCCTAGCCTTCAATCACAAACACCATCGATATCACCTACACAATCTTCATTTCTAACAAAAACAGCTCCTGGGTCGCAAACAACAACATGGTTAACATTGCCATTGCCAGTAAATCCAACCATTACATCGCAGCCAGTTTCAAAATCTATACCATCGTCTCTTCGTACCACAATGAATTTACAGAAAACAACGGCATCGCTATCAGTATCGAGATCATTGCAAACGACGCTCTCAATTTCATTATCATCGTCGCATTTATCTTTACCAATTTCAGCAATTTACTCCAACGTCTCATCACAAGGGCTGGTGTCACATTCTAAAACTATGTCTACAGTCTTAGCAACAACGACCACATATCAGACCATAAAGAAAGTATTTGGTTGTAAACTAACGCTCGATAGACCTTGGAATGATAATTTAAACAATTCTGCGTCTTCAGAATATATCAGACTTGCTGGTTTTGTAAAAGGAAATCTTACGAAAGTATTAAATAAGGAGCCTGGGTTTGTATCCGTGACGGTTGATAGATTCTTCCAAGGAAGTGTTGGGGTAGATCTTACCGTGGTAATGACCGCAACTTCGAATTCAACAAGCAAATCGCTGGAACAATCTATCCTAAAGGCAAACTCGTCTGGTAACATGGCGTTACCTGTAAGCGGTCTCAGCATACAGCTCAAAGAGATTTCTTCCACTGCATATAGCTCACACGTAGTAAACTCAACTTTTGTGCATTTGGCCACGAGTACTTCTCCAGTTTTGTTGACAGATTCGTCGTACCAGCTAAGGACACCATCATCAGAAACTTCGATGTCGCCGAGACCACCCATTCTAACACAGTCCGAAATATCAAAGACTTCATTTGTGACGCTTGAAACATCCTTGATGTCATCTGTTTTAAATACGAAAAATATAATAATCACACAACCTTCTTTATCTACACCCCTTTCATCTTCACCATCAGTGTCATTATCAACCATGTCATTGACAACGTCATCAGTCCTTGGAGTTTCACCATCAGTGTCATTATCAAACATGTCATTGACAACATCATCCGTCCTTACAGTTTCACCATCAACGTCATTATCAAACATGTCATTGACAACATCATCTTCATCAGTCCTTGCAGTTTCACCATCAACGTCATTATCAAACATGTCATTGACAACATCATCTTCATCAGTCCTTGCAGTTTCACCATCAGTGTCATTATCAAACATGTCATTGACATCATCATCTTCATCAGTCCTTGCAATTTCACCATCAACGTCATTATCAAACATGTCATTGACAACATCATCATCATCAGTCCTTGCAGTTTCACCATCAACGTCATTATCAAACATGTCATTGACATCATCATCATCATCAGTCCTTGCAGTTTCACCATCAGCGTCATTATCAAACATGTCATTGACAACATCATCATCATCAGTCATTGCAGTTTCACCGTCAGCGTCATCATCAGTCCTTTCATCTTCACCATCAACGTCATCATCAGTCCTTTCATCTTCACCATCAGCGTCATCATCAGTCCTTTCATCTTCACCATCAGTGCCATCATCGGCCCTTTCATCTTCACCATCAGTGCCATCATCAGTCCTTTCATCTTCACCATCAGCGTCATCATCAGTCCTTTCATCTTCACCATCAGTGCCATCATCGGTCCTTTCATCTTCACCATCAGTGCCATCATCAGTCCTGTTATCCTCACCATCTGTGCCATCATCAGTCCTGTTATCCTCACCATCTGTGCCATCATCAGTCCTGTTATCCTCACCATCAGTACCATCATCAGTCTCTTTACCGTCACCCTCAACACCAGTTCCATCTCCTTCACCGTCGTCGCCTATATTGACAACGCCGTCAATAATGACCACACCAAAACCAGTAGCTACCAAAACTCGAACGTTTAAGTGCATATTCAAGATGATCAGAGCATGGTCCTCAAACTTACTTTATTCCTACTCCCAAGAATTCAAGGACTTAGCACGGGAGATAACAGAAAAGATAACTAAGGTGTTGTCCAAACTTCTTGAATTTCTTTCAGTGGTAATTCTCAGGTTTTTTGAAGGTAGTATAGGAGTAGAAATGAATGCGATATTTAGCGCAAGCTCTAATGTAACGGATGCATTGATAGAAGAGTCAATTAAGTCGGCTAACTCATCCGGTACCCTTGGGCTAAATCTTGTTGAGTTGAGTGTTGAGGAAGACAAGCCAACAACAGGTGGAGATGAAGGCTTAGAGACTTGGGTTATCGTGGTTATCATTGCAAGTATCGTTGTATTCGTGTTGCTGATTATTATCATCGTTCTTACAGTAAGTATAAGACAGCCGACACTAGAGAAAAACGTTTGCGCATGCGTGCATTCCAGCACGTTTTCTAAGAATTTTGAAGAGTTTGAGTGAGAAAATAAATGTTTGTTTTCTCAAAGTATACAAAAAAGATCGAGAGTATACTTTTGTCAGATCAAGATACTGTCTTAACATACACAATATGACTTAAGTTTCAAGCATGGACTCTAAGCTTTGGCATTTCGTGAAGTCCATTTTATCAGTCATGTTTGAAAGTCAAATTTACTGGTTTTGACTAATTTGCATAAGGAGCATGCGCAGACGTTTTTCACTCGTGTCGACATAGCCAGTACTTCCAGGTGGTTTCGTTTTGAAAGCCCATCAAAAACCAGCCAATCATTGCGCAGGAAGATAACTGATCAGGCGGTCGATCGAAAAAAACATGGCGACCGAAGTCAGAAAAAAATACTCTGAATCTTTGCTTCCCTAGCTACGTTATATATGGACTAGCAATACATTTAAAATTCCATTTATTCTTATAACGAATACCTATGGGTCAAGTGGTGCGTTGTGGTTTCAAATCTTTTATGAAATTATCGTAAAATAATAGCTCTTTGTTCGCCGATAAACAACTGAAACTAGGACCGCCTGATAAACTACAACAATCCTTTGCGCGCGTTCCCCGAGATCACTTGGTTAAAGCACAAAGTTAAAACTCCACTTGGGAATATAAGGTTTTCCTATTTCAGACCACGTGTCAGTCTCTTGCGAATAAGATTATTTGGCTGTTTTGTATCCATGTTCATGTGTCTACTCATGTGCAACCGTTAAGCAAAAACAAACTCTATTGAATGAGATGTATTCTGAAATTGGAAAGCATTACCCCCAACGAGCTGCAGGTCTAACAGATCTAGTTGCTAGTCTTCAATTCAGGTTCAACGTATTATTTTGGGTTATTTTCGTCCAAGTAGCACTTTTATTATAGGTAGCTAACAGCGACACTTTCTCAACAGGTTTGTATCAAAAGGTTATCGAAAAAGAAGAAGCTCTATAATTTGTGGATAGATGACAGCGTGGTTTATTCAAGACGTCACACCTACGTCAGCAGCGGCAATGGTGAAAGGATTGAACTAAGGAACTATCCACGAAATCAAGAAGGAGGGAACAAACGGATCACAAACGATGTGAGTGCTCCTTTTTTGAATTTTATTGCTATATATACACCAGCATTCGGTAGAACGTAAAGCGGCGTACCCAGAAGAAACCCTCGTGCATGGCAAGGGAATGAACTGCCCAACACATCAAACAATATAGATTTTTTGAACATACAGAGTGTTTCTTAGGCCCCGTCCGCACTATGCTGGATGAATTTGAACGGCCGCAACTTTCGCACCGAAACCGAAAAAAAGGTTTTCCGTCCACACATGAAAACGGAGAAAATGTTTCGCGTCCACACTAGTCCGATCAGAGGCGGCAAAAAGCGCTTCATTGAAATTGAGCCCGCGTCGAAATTTTAGCCTTCCCGCCATGTTCCCATGACATTAATGACGTCATCGATGATTTTTCTTCTGAAGCCCTTCAACTTGATTGTGGCGTACCTCAAGGTTCTGTACTTGGTCCTTTGTTGTATCTCCTTTATACTTCTCCAGTAGCTGATATCCTCCGAATACACAGAATGTCTTTCCACCTTTATGCTGATGACACTCAATTATATATTCCTTTCTCCTGTAA